CACATATAAGTGAAAGAATAGGGAAAGTTCTGGAAGAAGATGCACCACACTCTTAATAATAGAAGGAGAGGGACAAGAATTATTTGCAGGGGATGGGGAGAAGTAAGGAAGTAAAGTTTTATTTTTTTGGAGAGAAAATGTATTCCAGGATTAACAAAAAATGACTAAAGAATTGTAAGCATCTCCTCCAGAGAGGAGATAAATATTAATATTTGAGCGAAGTCTAGAGTTCTTCAGGAAGAAAGAAACATCTGTGAGCTTAAGGATTTCTGGTGGTTCCCTTTGCCCCCAGCATTTGTAGGGCCCAGCCTGAGAATACAGATGCAAGCACAGAAAACATGCGGCTAAATACTTAGATGTTAGAAATTTCTTCCACTTTACTGTTTTTTTCCCTTCTTGTTACGAACAATTTGGTCCAAAAACTATTAGGAAAGGCAGAAAGTAGAAGGTGTTCCTGTAGGTAGTGGAAGAGCTGTGATGCCCTCCGGAGTGAAGATGCCCGGCCAGGACTAGGGTGAGGCAGGGGAGGCACCACCTTGGGGGACAACTTAGAGAGGGTTCCCCAAAACTAGTCATTAATATAACATTTTAATACATTGTTTTAAAAAGTCAAAATGAATGCAAGATATCTATAATGAGCAAAATAGGAAAACAGTAAACTCAAGATCAATATTAGTGATTTTTTCTTTTGCCTCAAGCTCTATATGGCTCAGCCTGGACTTCACTTATCCTTCAAGAGGGCGTTCGTGTCGGGGTGCAGCCCCGTGCAGGGTGTCAGAGTCTGACTAGGGTCCATGAGGTGCTCGGCATGGGATTTCAGAGCCTGAGTGAGAGGGTGTCCACACAGAGGCATCTGGTGAGGTGTCAGAGTGCTGGCAAGGTACAGAGGACACCCACATGGTAGTGGCCAGAATGGTAAGGAGGGTGCCCGTGAGGGAAGGAAGACCAACACAGATGGCTAGAGCCCAGAGGGATTGAGAAGAGCTTCCAGGTGGCTGTGTACACCCCAGCGTAAGGCGTGAGAGTCTGAGGATGGTCAGGAGGGCGTTTGTGGTGGGGAGCAGCCATGACAGAGTTGGTCACGTTGAAGGGAACTGATCAACTGAGTAAATAGGCTGAGGATGTAGGGGTTTTTCACAGTTGGAGAAGGGAGGTACCAATCTGAAAAGGGAGAAAACTGAAACGATACCTCTAGTGTTGGTTGGGAATTAGGGCCATTGGTAAGACATCACAATTTTCAATTGATACCTAATTTCTCCAGCTCATTCTTTGTGATGTATTTTTGTCACACAGATTACATTTACATATGCTATAAATTACATGCTGTTAGTATTTTTGCTTTAGATAATTATCTTTTAGGGAGATTGGAAATAATTTTTAAATATACCTTCAATTTAACTATTTCCAGAGTTCATTTTTGTGTGTAGATCAAAGTTTCTGCTTGGAATCATATAACTCCTTCCTGAAGAACTTCCTTTAACATTTCTTGTAACACAGGTCTACTAGCATCAAATCCTCTCAGTTTTTAAGTTTTTCTTTAGAAGCCTTAATTTCACTTTCATTTAAAAGGTATTTTCCCTGTCTAGAGAATTCTGGATTGACAGATTTTTCTTTCAGGATTTTAAGGATAACGTCACTCTATTGTCTTCTGGTTTGTTTTCTGATGAGAAGGTGGTTGTAGGTCTTACCAGTGTTCTTTTGTAGGTAATGTATTTTCGCCCATGGCTGTCCTCAGTATTTTCTCTCTATGTTGGCTTTTGAGTAGTTTGAATATGATGTGTGTGTGTGTGTGTGTGTGTGTGTGCGCGCACGTGCGTGCTTGTGTTTTGTATTTATCCTGGTTGGAATTCTCCAAGATTCTTGGATGTATAGTTTGTTAGCTTTCATTGCTTTTGTAAAATTCTTGGAGACACTTTAAAAATATTTGTTCTGCCCTATTCTTTCTCTCTC